TTTAAAAACCGATAACAACAGATAAAGGAATCAGAATATCAGTGAGGAAATAGAAAACCAAATGAAACTCAGTGTTGGCAAAAAGAAAGAAATAAACAATAAAGTGGAGATACAGAAATACAACAAAAAGAAACCTAAACTTAGTTCTTTGAAAGACCAAGTAAACAGACAAACCTTTAGCTAAAGAAAACAAAAGAAAAAGAAGACTCAATTACTAAAGTTAGAAATGAAAAGGGTACCTCATAGGTAGAACACTTGTTTGCCATGTACAAAGCCTCGGGCTTGATCCCCTGCATGCATGTATGTATAAGTAAAAAAAAGTACTACCAATTTTAAGAAATAAAAAGGATTATAAGAGACTATCATGAATAATTGTATGCCAACAAACTAAACTTGAAGTGAATAAATTCCCAGAAATATATAACCTATCAACACTGTCTCATAAAAAATTAGGATATCTTAATAGATATAACCGGCAAGGATATTTGGTTAGTAATCATAACCTAACAAAGAATGGTTCAAGATTAGGTGGCCTCCCTGTTCAATTTTACCAAAACATTAAAGAAGAGCTAACAGTATTCCTTATCAAACTCTTCCAAAAAAGTGAAGGAACACTTCCTAACCCATTCTAAGAGGCACCACTAACCTGATAATAGCTATATGAAGACACTACAAAAAATGAAGACCAATATCCTTAACAACATACAAGCCAGGTACGGTGGTGCACACCTGTAATTCCAAGCCTGGGGAGGCTGATAAGGAGGACTGCTACAAGTTTGAGGTCAGCCTGGGCTACAGACCCAGTCTGAAAAATAAAAGCAAAACCCCACCCACAACATACTAATAAACTAAACTCAGCATATTAAAAGTTCTTATTGGCCGGAGATTTAGCTCAGTGGTTCTGCTGCCTGCCTTGCAAGCGCAAGGACCCAAGTTCGATCCCTGGTCCCCCCCCCCCAAAAAAAGTTCTTATCATTTTCCTCTGATCTAAGGTCTCTCTCTCTCTAGAGAGTGCCTTGTAAAATCTAGTTCTGCCCTAATGGGGAGCCAGTAATGGATGTTTACAGTATAAGTTTCACAGGATACTTAATTTTGGTAGATGATATAATGAGTAGGTGTCTAACCCATGACCAGGTTTCCTCTCACTGGAGGAAAACTTTGTGGCTCTTGTCTGACTGTGTCCAGTGTATTCCTAATAAGATAGCTATTCTGTAGGACAGTCTTGACTAGGAAACTAGCTAGGTCTGGGTATATCAATCAGATAAGACACAGATGAAAGAACACAGCAAAATTTGTGAAATAACAAGCATTTTATCACTGGGGTGGGGTGGGGGGGCAGGAAAGGGAGGGAGAACCTTCAAGTTAAAGAAAACATATATTGAGTGAGGAGTTTATTTACATAACTTTGGTGTTGAGCATTAAGGTTTTTTTTTTGGTACCAAGGATCGAACTTTGTGCCTGAAACCTTGTGCTTGAAAGGCAGGTGTGGTACCACTGAGCTAAGTCCTCGGCCCCACCATTAAGTTTTATTGTGGTTAGCAGCTATGAGTTTTGGGTTTGGGGCTAGTGAGATGAGGAACAAGTCTGGAAACCGCCTGTGTCTAGATGTTCCCCCAAAGCCTTACGTGGTAATAGGTGGGGGTCTTCAGAGGTGGCTGGATCCAGAGAGTATGATGCTGGGATTAAGTGTGTGCTTCTGGGATCGATTCATGGTGTGATGCTAGGATTAAGGGTGCCCCAATCTGGGTGTGAGTGTTACCCACTCTAAGGTTGGGTAGCCTGGATAGAATATAAGGGATAGAAAGAGGCCTGCTATTCTCGCTTGCTGCTTCAGTACTTTGCTGCTTGCTGTCTTCTGCTCTGCTGCCCTCTGCCTACCATGAACTGTTTCTCCTTTGGATGTTCCTTGTCATGCCACTCTACCTCAGAGCCAGCCAATTATGGATTGAAACCTCTACAAACTGTGAGCCAAATCAAACCATTCCTCCTTTAACTTTGGGTGTCAGGTATTTTGTCTCAGCAGTGAGAAAAGTAACCATGACACCACCACATAGGGAAAGAAAGTTTTAACTAGGTCATAGGTGATGTGGAGTAACGGTTTGAAACAAATTATGTTGGTGGGCCTAAAGTGGATGCCAAGACAACAACTATATTAAATTTATGACAAAAGAATTACCCATCATGATATCATGGAGATTTATTCTGTAACGCAAAAACAGTTCAACATATGAAAATCTATGTTACATATCACATTAATAGAATGAAGGGAAAAGATCTGAACATGATTACCTTAACTGTTGCAAAAAAGTTTTTAGAAAACTGAGCACTCTTTCATGAAAAAAACTGTAAGAACAGAAGGAAACTTAACTCCACGTGAAAAAGGTCATATAGGAAAAACTCACAGATAATACCATTCTGAAACTGTGAAAGACAAAAGCTTACCCTAAGACAGGAATCTGAAAGACATCTGCTTCTGCATACTGTATTCAAAATGGTATTAGAAGTTCTAGTAAGAGGTATTAAGAAAAAGACAAATATCATCCAACTAAAAATAGATTAACTCAAAATGGATTTTAGAAAAAAAGATCTAAATGTAAGAAATATAAATACAGGGCTAAGAGTGTAACACAGTAGTTGAGCCTCTGCCTAGAATGCACAAGGCCCTGAGTTTAATCCCAAGCACTACAACTAACAAACAAAAATAAAAGCACACATACAAAGCTACGACTATGAAATTTTTAGTAGGCAAGGGGGACAAGCATCATGATGTTGTATTTGGAAATGATTTCTTGGATATGACACTAAAAGCACAAGCAACGAAAGAAGTAAGAGATGAATTAGACTTCACAAAATTTAAAACTGTGGATCAATGGAGACTATCAGGAGAGTGGGAAGATAATCTATAGGATGGGACAAAATATTTCTGTAAGTCACATATATGCAAGGACTTAATGTCCAGAATATGAAGAATGACTACAACCCAATAATAAAATAATTCAATCGAAAAAACAGAAAAAAGGGCTGGGGATTTAGCTCAGTGGTTCTGCCACCTGCCTTGCAAGCACAAGGTCCTGAGTTCAATACCCAGTATCAAAAAAAAAAAAAAAGTAAAAAACAGAAAAAGGATTTGAATAGATATTTCTTAAAAAAGATATGTGCACAGCCAATAAATAAACACATATAAAGATATTCAATACCACCAGTTAATGAGGAAATACAGGTCAAAACTACAATGAAACTTTACTTCATACCTATTAAGATGGCTATCATTTAAAAAATAGTAACAGAGGGCTGGGGATTTAGCTCAGTGGTTCCGGCGCCTGCCTCGCAAGCACAAGGTCCCAAGTTCGATCCCTAGTACCCCCCCCCCCAAAATAGTAACAGAAAATAACTTTTGGTGAGGACATGGAGAAATTGGAAACTTGTGCATTGCTGGCGGGCTATAAAACTGCATGTATGGTTGCTATAAAAAACAATTTGATAGTTCCTCAAAAAATTAAACACAGAATTACCACAGAACTCAGCAATTCCACTCCCAGGTACATATCTTTGGTTTTTTTTTTGGTACCAGGGATCAAACTCGGGACCTTGCACTTGCAAGGCAGGTGCTGGAACCACTGAGATAAATCCCCGGCCCCCCAGGTACATATCTTAAAAACCAACCAAATAAAAAGCTGAAGGCAGGGACCTATATGAATACTTTCATACCAATGTCCATAGCAGCATTATTCACAATAGGAAAAAATGAAACAACCCTATTGTCTATCAACAGATAACTGGATACACAAAATGTGATATATCCATTATTCAACCATAAAAAGGAATAAAATTCTGATACAAATTCTGATCTACAGATGAACCTTGAAAATGTTATGCTCAAGTGAAATAAGCCAGACATAAAAAGAAAAAATATTATATAGCTCTATCTATGGTACCTACAATGAACAGATTCATAGTGACAGCAGAACAGAATCTTATCAGTAGCTGGGGGAAGGAAATAGGATCTTCATGTTTAAGGGGCACACAACTTCTGTTTAGGATAATGAAAGAATTATATAAATAGATGGTGGTCATGATGGCACAAAATTGTGGATATAACCAATGGCACTGAACTGTACACTTAAAAATAGTTAAAGTGGTAAAAATTATGTTATGTATGTTTTACCATAACAACAACAAAAAAACAAAAACAAAAAGACACTGAAGAAAAGCAAGCAAGTAAGCAAGAAACACAGGTCCTGACTTAGCCCCAGATAAGCATCTTCCACAAATCCTCTCGGGAGTCAGAAAGTGTAGTGCAACTAGAGATGACAGGCCCAGAGTTTACAAGGTAAAAGAAGCCAGTTCGATCCTGGCTTTGCCAGCGAGTTTCACATCCTTAGGCAATATGCTTCATTCCTGTGCTTAGTCTCCACATGTGAATGGAGACAGTAGCATCTTTCTCATATTTTTAACATTAGTGAGTTAATTTACATAAATTCCTAGAGTCTTTTTGATGAGTTAGTTCATATAAAGCACTGAAAGATCAATAAAGATGAACTTTGTTGTTGTTGGTTTTCTAAACAAACACATTGGTTACATATTCAGAGTTTAGTCTGAAATACCTTAATCTATTTTCGAGTTCTAATTTAGAAAACTATCTGGTAATAAATGAAATTCTCAGATGTACATGGTTAGAAGGTTTATCATTACATTTTGATTTGCCAGATCTTTGTGCTTTTCTAGTTTCTAGATTTCAGGAGGTAGGAAGAAAACACTTACACATTAAATAATCATTGTCTTTTCCCTACATCTTTACTAACTCGCAAGATAAAGAATTCATTCAATTTAGCATGAATCCTGTGGACTTTTTGTTTAAAGATGCAGCTTCTAAGAGATTTAAATGTATAAAAGGTGAACAGTGGTTCATTTGCTCTAATATTCATACTGGGCACTCATTTCTGTTACATGTTTTTATTTAAAAACTTCTTTAAAATTCCAAATGAACACTACATACTTACCAACTGAAGATAGAAATCGGTAGGACTATTTATAAAACAAATCATAACCGAAACATCTGTCATTTCTTTAGGCAAAATAGGTGGATGATAGTGAAAAGTCACATTATTTTCAATGTGGCTTCTTGGCGACTGTGACCTAAACCTAGTTGAAAACAATTAAAAACATGAGTCATTTTCTTAAAGTATCTCTTAATGACTTGATCTTAAGAATGGGCTTCTACTGATTTACTTACTCAAAGTATTCCCTTTCCAATTTTTTTCTCCTAACCTATTACATTTCTTGGTATTGTCTCCAGTTACTGAACCGAGTGTGGTGGCTTGCCCATTGGCAACAAAAGGGTTAAACCTTTTAGCAGCAGAACTGGTCTGCAAAGCAGTCCTACCCAGCTAGGACTGAGCAGTCCTAAGACAATATAACAACACTGACCATAATGACAAAAGATACAACAAACCTTTGATGTAAGACCCATTCATTCCTCCAGTAAGCCCTGATCCATTTTCCCTAAAAGTTAATGTGGATAGACTTCCTTATCTGAAGCTAAGAGGCCTTCTATGAGGCCAAAGGAAATGGTCTTGCCAACTTTAAGCATCTAATGTTAGACACAATGCAAGTGCTTACCAAAGATGTGCAAGGTACTAGATAATCTGGAAAAAGACATTCTTTAGATAATCACATCTGCTGTGCAGACCCTTCTTCCACATCCCAACTCATAAAAACCCCAATCTCTCATTCCGATCTCACAATTACCCTTTTGGAAATTGGCTTGCTGTCCTCCTTGACAGTGTAGGTGGGTCTGAACAAAACTTTTTATCTTTACTATTATCTTTGCTGGATAAATTCTTTTTTTTTTTTTGTACCGGAGATCAAATTTCGGTTCTTCCACATGCGGGGCAGGTGGCGGAACCACTGTGCTAAATCCCTGGCCCTGGATAAATTCTTTATACTGCCTATTATACCAGCCCTCCTTATGCCATCTTTGTATGGTACCAGGGTAAGAGCTTGGTAATTAAGTTTCAAATTTGTGTCAAGACATTTTAGAGCTGGGAATGCATTAGAGTCAAAGCTAATTCTACTCTAACTTTTGCTTGCCTTGTTAGTCACAGTCTGTAGCAGCACTCAGGGCAGCTGAGGGGTTTCTGTGGTCTTTTACAGTCCCAACACTCTGCTTTAATTTTTCTAGAATTCAATCTATCTGGGTCATTTAATCATCCAGAGCAGGATGTTAGGGCTGCCACCACCTCTATGATTCCTTAAGTCATCACATTTTTGCTCATCAGAAATAAAAAAAAAAAAGAACACATTAAGTATTCTAGACTCAGACATTAAGTATGTATTAGTGACCTTGAACTCTTTCCAAAGGCTAGGAAATTTAAGTTAGGAATAATTAAACTACAATTCTTGAAACAGTAGAGCTGTTTGTAGTTATCACAGCCTAAAAATGATTCATATCTATACATATTTTTAAATTTGAGCTATACCCTAATTTCTCTGAATGCAGTTTCCACAGACAACAACTAGAAAACTTTTGATAACCATGTTGCTAATCTCTAAGGGTATGTTAAATTCACTTTATAGCCCACAGTTTCAAAAGGTAAAATCTGATGCTATTTATAGCTATAATCTTGAAGAATATTTAACGAGTTGCTTACCTTGCTAGTTCCATAAAAACTAATGCATCTCTAAGAGACGCAGGCATATCACTGCTTATTTTATTTGTTGGTGGTTTCTGCAAATCTACAATAAGCACACCATCTTCTTCTCCAAAAACTCTCATTAAAACAGCCTTATTATTTACCATTTTCAAAAATTCCACTTTAGCTTCCTCTTCCCAGCCTTTACTCTGTGGGAAAAAAAGTAAAATTCCAAAGTAATTAGTAATTATAATTATCTTTAAAGTTATCTTGTCTGCATGTAGCTTTGTACCAGTCTGCAACTCTGAGCAAAGGCACTGAACTAACCACACATATAAGAAACATTTGAAACCACAAACCAAAGGGCAGTCTTAATGCAAGCACAATATGTATTTTATAGATATATTCCCAAGGTGTTTATAAGCAGTTTTCACTTTGGACTTTAGTGTTACTATTTAACAGTATGATAATATGTTAGGTTTTTTTTTTTTTGTACCAGGGATCGAACTCAGGTCCTTGCACTTGCAAGGCAGGCTTGGTGCCACTAAGCTAAATCCCCGGGAATAGTATAGTAATATGAAAATAATGATTTTTAGACCGATGTAGTGGCACATGTGCATAATCCTAGCACTCTGGGAAGTTGAGGCAGGAGGACTGTAAATTCAAGCCCTGCATGGGCAGCTTTATGACCGAGCAAGACCCTGTCTCAAAATTTAAAAAAATTATAAAAAGGTGTAGGGATATAGTGCAGAAAAAGGCTCTGGGTTCAATCCCTAGACTCCTTCCCAAAGTGTTTTGCATTAATTTTCCACTTAAATGGTGAAAATTCAAAAGTAATTGTGGATGTCTAATGTAAGCCTGTAGTATAATAAAAACATTTATAATCATCAGAGCACCGAGGTGAGCCTCTTGGGCTGCCGGACCACCGAGGAGGTGAGTCGCATGGATGCCAGCACCCCACCCCTCGCCCCCGGCTGTGCCGAGCCATTACCTGGATCCACAGCACAGAGTTGTTGCAGGGGTCATAAAGGACATTGTTCTGAGCTTGAGAAGATAAGAGTGGAAGTGAACAATAGGAAGAGGGCCTGAGGCCCCTTGGTAAAAATTAAAGCTGACCGGAAAAGTGAAGAATAAAGGCACACCAGACCACCTTAGTTGGGGGAGCAGCAGTGTGGACCAGAGCAGCATAGCTGCAAGCAGATCCCTGCAGGGCTCTGCCCTGACACCAGAAGATGGGGCACACTGGCCCAAGCCAAGGGACTGCCTGGAAAAGAGCTGCACAGGCACACAAGTAACAGCCAGAGGTTTGCCCCAATATCATCAGTAAGTGCGCGAGACCCTAGCCAGAAGCTTGCTCACACAGCAGGAACTGGGGTGCACAGCCACCAACCAAAGGGCCTCCCAGAAAACAGCTACATAGGGGCCCTAGCCAGTGGCACACCTAGATACCATCCCAAGTGTGCACAGGCCCCAGCCAGAAGCCCACCCAGACAACAGGTCAGCTCAGGGATCCAGAAAGCCACCTTTCTGAACCCAGGAATTAGTGCACTGGTGAGCAGCAGAGAAAAGGCATCTCTGTGGCTTGTTGAGAATTGAAGACCACTGGATGAGGAAAAAGTTGCCTCAAAAAAGGCACAGGAGGCTGCATCTGTTGAAATGAGAAGACATGTAAACAAGTCTCAAAACCAGACTTCCAGATCACCTAAGGCAACCCCAAAGGGAAATGAGATGGAACAATCTGATACGCAACCACCTGGACTCCCTGAACTGACAACAAAAAAGGATCTGGAAAAAATAAAATCAGAAATAATTTCTCAGATAACAGCAGAGATTGTGCCCATAGTACAAGACATGATTAATAAAACTACAGCAGACACAGATTAAAAAAAGAGATGAGGAACATGATGAAATCCCAACACAGGAAATAAATGGAACCCATAAAATAGATACAAACAGATTTCCAGGAGATTAAAAACTCCATTGAAAGTTTACGAAGCAGAATGAGCCAATGTGAGGAGAGAATCTCAGATATAGAAGATAAGATTGCAGTTAGTGACCAGGAAAAGAAAAATTGCTTTAAAATAGTAAGAAACCATAAGAAATCAATCCAGCAGCTGCTAGACGATGCAAAGAAGAATGACATAAGACTGACTGGAGTCAATGAAGAAACAGGAGA